GGGGGGGGGGGGGGGGGGGGGGTGGGGGGGCTTTATCACCACAAATGGGGGTCCGCAAAGGGTGTAGTGCACAAGGGTATAGGAGTGATAGTGGCAGGGGATTTTCTTGCCGTCGGTCGGTCTGCCTACGGTGCAGAGAATTGTATGCGTCGTACATGGCTTCGTCATGGCCATTCAATGCTTGAACAAAGCAGCCAAACGTTCCAAACAAAAAAAACGACGGCTGACCCCCCAAGACAGATTCCACTCGCGTGGTACATGCGCATCATCGCAACGCTCCAAAACAGCAGCAGCGGCAGTGGCGACGGTGCGTCGACAAAACCAAACACGACGAGAAGCCGAACAGCAGCAGCGACAACAACAACGAAAATAATGCCGACAGAGGCTTTCCCGAAAAAAACACCACAAGAAAAAAGACAAAAAAAAAAAAAACGGTACTTACTTGATGGTGCCGGCGAGGTTCCCCCTGCAGTCGTTGGCCGTGAAGCGGAAGGTCTTCTCGACCAGCTGCCTTGCGTGCTTGGCCTCGTCATCGTTCGGGTTCATCGGCGTCTGGTTGCTGGCGCTCAGAGAGTGGAACAGGCTGGCGTCGTCCGACATGGGCTCCAGCTTTGCGGGTGCGCCTGGAGTATGTGTATGGACGGGGAGGGGCATGAATGGGAGGGGAGAGGGGGGGGGGGCGTACACTTATGTTTCGCATGCCTTAGCGATTAGATCATTTGCCCACGCGTCCTCGAGAGGACGGAGCATTGTTCCTATAGGACTGATTACCGATGGCCAATCGGTCCTTCCTACTTCGCCAAAGGAGGCTCAAAAATGTCGTCCCTGTATCTATCCGATCGATACCACTCCCCGCCTTTTCAACCCACTCCCTGTGCCCCAGTACAGCAACCGTCTTCTCCTGGCTATTATTCATGCCTCAAACATCTCCCTGTATCTTGCTTCTACCTTTCCCATCAGTTATGCACACTTCCCTTCCCTTCTAGTACAACCGAAATTCCGCAAATACATGAACACGGTCTTCGCACTCAGAACCGCAATCACATTTGAACTTGTCTTCATCGTCTACGTTCCTAAATCTTCGCCTACGGTCTCGCAGGCCAATGTTCCCGGTCCTGAATTTGGCCTTCAGCTTTGTCCCTGCATCCATTGGTCCATGAAGGTACTCCTTGAACTCTTTTTCTTTTTCCAACATTCCGTACACATCTAGATCCTCCTTACCCTTGGTTCTTTGGTTAGATTCTGTTCTTCTCTCTCGGCAATCGCAACAGATATCTCCTCCTTGCCTTGAACCCGTCTAGATCTTCCGTTTCCAGCGTATCACCTTGGTCAATTTCGAACTCCTTCCATACGTCATTTACAACCTTGACCCACTCCGTGGGTTGTCAACCCCTCTTGTCGTTGGCCCACGTCGCCTCCCAAGCTATTCTCGTCAACCTCTCCTCTCCCATACCGCACATGCGGTTATAGCTTCCTTGCGTCTCTTCCCGATCTGAGGGGTGGGATCCCCAGTTCTGCCCTGACGGCTGCATCACTTGTGCGTTTGGAGCATCCTAGGATGATTTTCGCTGCTTTCATCTGCGACGCCTCGAGCTCTTTTGAGAATCTTATTATTTCCTTCCCACACTTCTCCGGCGTACTCTAGCGGCCGTACGACTAAGCTCGTCAAAACTGCCAACTTGATGAGTGTATCAGCCGGTTTACGAGTATTGGGTGCAGCTTCCCTGCTCGTGCTTTGCCCTTTTCCGCTACAGCACCTTGGACATGTGTGCGTTCCACGAGCAGTCTTTTGCGATCTCTACTCCGAAATATGTGTACTGGCGCACTCCTGCAAGATCCTCAACCCCCTACTTCCATCACTACTCTACTGGTTTCTCCCTGTCCTTGTTGCATACCATGACGGCACTTCTAAACGCCGGCAGACAAGCTCCACTTATTAGTAAACAAACTCCTTTGCTGCGTCAATCTGCAGTTGAAGTCCGTTGGGGATGTTAGACATCCCAAAAAAAATCATCCGCAACCAGCATCTCCGACACCGAGGTTTCCCCTACCTTTACTCCCTTCCCAACCGCCTTCACGACTTTCAACACATCGTTGATGAACACCCGGAAAAATGTTGAAGAATTTAGACAATTCTCCGTCTACCGATACAGCGCTTTTCGTACACTCTTATCATCTTCTTCAGCACTCTCCACTGTTTCCTCTTGATTCCATACTTGGACAACTGTTTCCACGTCCCACTTCTCCATACTGTATCGCATGCCTTTCGCACGTCCAGGAAGAACCCGTACGTCCGCTTCCCCGCCCTCTCTCTACGTTGGATGATTCTCCCTACCGTGAATGCGTGGTCCTACGCACCCTCTGTTTCTTTCGGAACCCTGCTTGGTCCTCACTTATCCTATAATACCTTCCTTCTCCAGTGCTCCAACTATCCTATCGTTCAGCAGCTCATAGAACACTTTTCCTACTGTGTTCAACAGTGTGATTGATTCCTAGGTCAGTCTTGCCTCCCTTCGCAATCACGTTCACAACCCTCCTGCTTGGCGAGTACTCGTTGGAAAGGATGGGGTGGGGGCGGGCGAACGGTAAAGAAACACGGGTGCGTAAATCCTAACTTATACAAGGGCTCTGGACGCGGGGGGCTACCGCGCCGCGCCCTGAGCCCGCGACGGCGGGATTCTTGCGAAGAGAGGGCGTCCGGCGGGTTCCGCGCAGAGGGAGGTCGAACGGCGTCCGGCGGGGGGCTGGCCGGGCCCGTAAAGTTTTTTCGTCTCGATGTGTAGAGTAGGGCTAATTCCCCGCTGCGCTGTGAGGCGTTGAGCTGGAGCTTGAGTGAAGAACACTTACCTCTATTTATGCTGAATAAATTTACCACTACACAAACAAAAACTTAACATTGAAAATTCTCGAAACTTCTGTGTCACTATCCGGATCCCGATCTGTCGCGAATGAATCACATGCTCACCTGCGACCACGCGTAGGGTCATCTCTTGCACCCTCTCATCGTCCTCGCCCTGGGTGCCCTGTGTCGCCAGCGGCCTGCGTTCTGAGTACGTACACCTGACGTACGTGTGGGAGAGAGACAGACACACCGAGAGATAGAGACAGAGAGGTGGGGGGAAACAGAGGGAGAGAAAGGGAGAGGGGGAGACGGGATGCGTTTGTTCAGTTGCCAAGCTAGGAATCGAGCGGGAGGAAGCAGGTAAACGAGTGAGACATACCGCGCAGCTCTTGACGAGCACCACATCGCCACTACCACCTCCAACAGCGACCACGGTCATCATCACGGTACGGTCACAGAAGAAACAATTTTTTCGTCTTCGGCCGCGTTTTGGTTTGGTGTCGTAGAGTCAGTCAACAGTAGCAGCAGCAGCAGCAGCAGCAGCCTCAACCACCACCACAGTATCAACACCATCATCAGCAGCAGCACCAACAAGCAGCCCCCACCGCAACAACAGCAACATAACAAGCAGTAGCAGCACCGACAACGATGGCCTCCAACACAACAACAAGCACGTCAGCAGCACCAACATCCAAATTGACAGGACCAACACCACCAGCAATAACAGCTGCTAAGCAGCAGCAGTAGCAGCAGCAGCAGCAGCAGCAATAACAGCTGTAAGAAGCAGCAGCAACAGCAACAACAGCTGTAAGGAGCAGCAGCAGCAACAACAGCTGTAAGGAGCAGCAGCAACAGCAACAACAGCTGCAAGCAGCAGACGCGCAGTAACAGCTTCTTCCACCACCCCCGACACCGCGACAACGACAGCAACGTATATGCTATATCCGCCAGATACAAACACAGACAATTCACAAAAAAACTTACGAGATGGAGTGCTCCCCGACGTCCTGCTCCATGACATCCTTCTTGGGATGGAAAACCAAAGCGTGGTCCTTGCCCAAGCTCGCGGGCGCGGGGACCGGCGGGTGGTACAGGTTGCTTTGTGTCCGGAGGAGGTTCTCACGCGCGTTGTACAATTCGTGAGATCTACCCAGCCGCAACAGAGTGGGAGGGTTGGCGGTTGTGGGGAGGACGGGGGGAACGGGAAGGCAGGATGCAGCTTGAGTTTTACAATAGCAGGCATGCATGAGAGCTTCCGAAGGATGCCGTCACGAGCAATGAAGAGGGACTCCGGAAGCCAAAATTCTCAACTTTGGAAATTTGGATCGCCAGCATCGAGGCATGCACCGTCGGTGTCCACCTAAGCGCTCCCAAAGCGCCGTCCCAAAAGCGACAGCCAAGCCTTGGGAAGTACGTGGCAAGACACTGGGACTTCAAACGTAGCCGAACGCTTAACCACGTCGGCAACGGTTGAAGCACCACCAGCAATCTTATCACAGTCCCAACAGGTGGTCTGAACCACGCCCTTTGTCCCCGTGGTCCGCGTCTACAACACCGCCTCCTCCTTACGCGATGAAAACAGTCTCGCCCAGCAAAAAGCAGTTCCGCTTCGCAAAAAAAGGTAGAAAAGAAAGACACCAGAAAAAAAATGACGAAACGGGGGAAAACACTCTCGCCCGGTTGTGCTCCGAAACAGAGGTGACCGTGAACGCGACGCTGTCGAGCGGCGGGTCCCGACAGCAGTCCCGCATGCAAAAAAGAAAAAACAAAACAAGAAACCGTAGACATACAGGTACTTTCTGACGCTATGAATTCATTGCTAATCTGTATCAGACTCTTTTCTATGATAGAGATTGATTCGTTGTGTCATATCAAGAAAAAAAAAAAAAAAAGAGAAAAGCTCACCCGGCCGTGCTCGAAACTGAGGTGACAGTGAAGGCGACGCTGTCGAGCGGCGGGTCCCGACAGCAGTCCCGCATGCACAAAAGGAAAAACAAAACAAAAGAAGAAAAGAAAAATGCTCACCCGGCCGTGCTCGAAACCGAGGTGACGGTGAAGGTGACGCTGTCGGGCGGCGGCTCGCACGGGCTGCCGTTGTCCGTCTCGAACCACACCACCATGGATGGGAGGGGGCCGTCCACCGGCCTCACGATCCCATACCTCCTGGCTCTCTGCCCCATGACGGAACCGAGCTTCGCGGGCTCCTGTAGGGTAGGCGTCGTTGTCGAAGCTGGCGGCGGCGACAGCGCGGCGAGGTTCACCTTCGTCACGGCACTGGTCCTCTGCCTTGTCCAGTAGATGGTCGCCTGGTCGGGGCACCGATGGATGGGAGGGGATAGATAGATAAAACATGGCAAAAGAGGAGACACAAAAATAAGCACGGCGGTATCTTGATCATGTAAGTGAGGGCTAACAAAAACAAGAGACGATCAACTCTCACTCACCGCTTCAACGTCCAGGTCAGCCACCTCCGCGCGCACCAGCAGCGCCACCCCCTCCTTGGCAACCCTCGCGGCCCTCTCCCTCTCCGCCCTCTCTGCGCTCTTGCTGGTTTTGCCAGAGGCCTGTTCATCCCCTCCCAGAACTTTCTGGTCGAGGGAGAACTTCGGCATGGTTATCTGCGGGTCGGTGGTGGCTCGCTTTGACAGGTCCTTCTTTCCGGACGAGGAGTTCGACGACGAAGAGGCTTTTTTCCGGCCACGGGGAGAGCCGAGGCCGCCGCTGCCGCCGCCTTCGGACGGCAGGGCGTCGCGTGGCGTAACCAAGAGCCTGACGCCCTTCGGGCCTATGTGCGCATCGAAGCCGTTTCTGTCCACCAGACGCACCTCAAGGTCGCTCACCTTGTCAGACCAGGGGGCGGGGGGGGGGGGGGG